TATATATATATAAAGCAATTATAGAAAAAGTTTCATTTAATTTGATATCACATTAACAACTAATTATTATTGTAAAATTTTATTTTTAAATTTAATTTTATAATAATTTTAATTATTTTAATAAAATACAATGATACAAAAGTTGAAACGCTACAGAGCTTATGCAATGAAGAGTGGAAGAAATCTATTGAGATATTATGATTTTATGCTTAGAAGGCAACGTCATTAGGGCACACACTGAACAAACTAATTACATAATGAAGCAGAAAAAGGGAACCAATAAATTGGAGTCAAATTAATCCTCACCTGCATCTTAATTATTCCTCTCTATTTAAATGCTAACACATATGACATAACACACGAAAAACACACCCCTCTCTGTTAACTATCCATTTTTCTTTCTAAGTACTAGAAAAGACATTAATTCATGACATGACAAGAAAGTTGTTACTTAATCACACGGCTTCAGAAGAAGAAGAAAAAGGGCTATGACCAAATCCAAAGGCTTTGATGTGATCCTTAAGCGACCTCTTATGTTTGAAGTCTGAGCCACAGATACAAAGCCAGCGTTTGCCACAGTTCTTCTCGTGCGTTCTCCAGTCACCTTTCACAGCCAAGGGCTTCCCACACTTGCGACACGTGAAGGGCTTCGACCCGTGCTTCCTCTTGTAGTGTGTTTGAAGCGTTCGAAAATCCTTCAGAGGCTTGGCTCGTGGGTGCTCAATGTTGTTCTTGCACCCTCTTGCGCAACAATAGCATGGAATGTCTAACAACGGTCGTGGATGAGTTCGCTTCAGCGAGTCTGGTCCTCTACGGTACTGCGAACCGTGTCCCCACATGTGCATCTGATACCAAAACTCACTGCTTAGGTGCATTTTACGTTAACTAGTATCACTATTTGAGGTTTCAAATTAATACAAATAAATAAATAAATGACATTTTTAATTAAAAGTGAAAATAAAAAATATAAAAAAAAATGCTAAAACTAAATAGCTGCTTAGATTTTAGAGGTCTTTACAATCATGGCCTCAGCTACAAAAGTTTTGTTAACTAGCCATTTTATGCCTTGCTTTTACTAAAATTATGTTCAAGGTTTTCAAACTGTAACTGTGATGTCAAGGTTTTTAGCTTTTGTGATTACAGTTATGATCGTAATATTTAATAATGTTAAAGATCAATCATGATGAAACCATGACTACAAGTGCAACTTAAAATCTTGCTAAAACTTTAGTTTTAACTTAAAAAATGTCATTCACTCTTTAACCTTAGCGTTTGTATAAAATGAGTGGGAAAAAAAAACATGAGACGTTTTCTAAAAGTAGGAACTTTAAGTGAAGGTTTAGTAAAGTCATAAAATGATGGATGCATATAATAAACGAGGGTTTATTCCATGTTACACTGGCTAAGAACACATAGTTCATTAGTTAGCTAGAGACAGCATTTCACTAAGTTCAAGAGTTATGATGCAAAATACAATAACTGAATGTGAAAAGCTACAGTAACTGCACCTGAAGGTTGTTGTAGCGGTTGAAGGTTTTGAGGCAGACAGGACAAGAGAAATGACTGAACCCGATGAGGATCTGCTCCTGAGTTGGTATCCAGTAATTGTTAGGAACTTGAGTTGTGTCACTCACAAATCCATGATTGTTGGTGGTGGAGCCACTTGAATTGTCAGGGAGGCCTATGTGTAAGGCCACTGTGACATCCTCACATGCTTTATGATTTTGGTTTTGGAGCAAAGCCTCTCGTGGAGATGAACCAAGGAAGCTACTCAGCAGAGGCAGAGGCTGAAGCTGGTTTTGATTCATGTCAAGGTAAAGAATGAAATTATTGATATGATTTGCATGTGAATAAGGCAGGGAATAATAGCTACATAACATGTATGTATGTACATTATATATATTCGAGGGGACCATGGTGTTCTCATTTTTTTGAAAATAAAATTTATGAGAGTCAAGTTAGATTTTATCAGATTTTAGGAAGTTTAATAACGACTGGAGGCACACTAGACAAATTGGCATGTAATAGAAGTTGGAAAAGAGGAAGAGTGAAAGTAATGGTGTGATAGGTGGCCGGAGAATATTACAGTTGAATGAAAAGGGCCTTTGTTGAAGGAGTTATTATTTTCTCCTGCAACTCCACTTTGTCTATTTTAAGCTTCATTAGGATATACCTTAAATTCTGTGGACCATGGCCTCTAAACGTAGAACGAATTGCAAGCAGTGGATTTCAAACAGAGGGTAACCCATTTTACACTGTCAGACACTAACGAAATTTCTATAGAGGCTTTAGCTTTAGACAAAGGTTAATTAAAACTCAACATCTAACTTTAGACACTTTTAAGGTTATTTTGGTTTATATTTCGGTTTATGGAGGCACAATAAATTGACATACGAAAAATTGTTAAAGCAAAATGACGGGTCTTAAAATATTATATATATGATTACATAATACAATTGAAAGAATGTATTAAATTTATAATTGTTTTCTATTTTTGTTCTACATCAGATACTCTACGACAATATTTTAGTGACTAAATATAGGCAAATCAACAAAATTAGAAGTGCAATAATACAAACTACATATAGTATTACACTATAATCTTGAAAATCTGTGGGGTCACAATCCCCCTAGCTCCTTATCGTCCATAACTACTAACTAAATAAAAAAATTTGTTTTTCTTTTCAAAATAAAAGATTCCAAGTGATTTTGCTTACACATGTAAGTTCATCGGCTTTGCATTGATTGCTATCAAGAATTTAAGAGTGGAGCCTTCTCGTTTTCGGAAAAAAGAAAATAAGAGAAGGGGCTAAAAGTCCAAGTCATGGAATATATACAAGGGAAGCTAATAACCCTAGGGTATCACCATTTGAACCAGCGTAGTTTGTTCTCTATTTCTTTTTCTCATTTTTAGTTTATTCTGTTACGAAATTTTTAGTCTAGAGCTTTTCACTAATCAAAGTTTATCTTAAATTTGACGATCTCGTGATAAAAAATTATCTTTCAGACGAGATAACATGCATTTGTTAATTTCCAAGTATGATATTCAATATTCAGGAATCACATTTTCACGAATACTATTACTAAGAATGATATTAAAAAAAATGTATTTGATTGAATTTTAACATTCTTAGAAATATTTTTAAAATTTAAAGCAATTAAAATAAAAAATAAGAATTGAAATGAAAGTTATAAGTAGGTTAAAAAAAAACTCACATGCTAATGAAAATTAATACAACCTTTTTATCCCTCACCGTGAGAATAAAAATAAATAAATCATACTGTAACTATTTTTTTTTTAAAAAATGACAATATCTAAAATATGTTTTTAAAAATCCTAACAAACATTAAAATGCTTTTAATGTAAAAAATTTATGACAGTCTCATACAACCTAAACTTTGATTAATGAAAATTTAATTGAACTTAAATTAAAATTAATGAGGAAGTTTACAATGTTTTCGTTGATTTAATAATTTAAAATAGTATTTGTTGAAAATTTCATAAATAGAGAAAGAACATAGTCCCCAACTCCCCCAACCCCATTTTCCAAATTCCAAAATTGGATTACTTAATTGCTATGTTAACGAGTCAAATCGACCCAATAAACATTAAAACTTTAAAATCTGATTTAAACCAATTCAACACGCCGGTGTTAATTTGCATAAATAGGTTAGTTCAAGTAAAATCCAACCAAAATTTATCTCTATTGGTTGAGGGCAAATTTATTTTTCTGAACCATTGACTTTATTACCAATTGCGAGTTCCGGACCCCAACCAATCTTATATTTCATTATTAGGTTTAATTACTTGTTTCGTTTTTTTTTTTTTTTTTTTGGTTGTACAAACCTTATTACTTTAATTTTATATTTTAAAATTATTTGTTTTAGTTTTTACACAAGCACTTCGAAGCCCTTTTGGTTTATGCTAGTAAAAAACAGTTATAACGGCGTTAATAAAAGATGGCGTGGTACTAACATGTTATTAGATTTTTTTTCCCATTATATTAGTACTATTTGTATATTTTGATTCTTAAACTTGTATAATCTTTAATTTTTAGCTTCTATATTTAGAAACTACTTGTTTTAGTCTCCATATAAATAATTTATTTTTGTTTGTCTCAATATATTTGTCGTTTCTTTTTCCTCCTACTTTTTTTTTCTTGTTCCTCATCAACATCTTCCTCTTTTGCTTTATAGCTTATCTTTCTTTTAAAATCTTTTACATCAACTAATCTCAGTGACACTAAATCAGTCTTAAGGATATAAAATTCAAATGCATTTCTTAGTCAAGATGAACTAGCTTGTGAGTAATAATTTTTGTTGAAACTTGTTATACTTTTGTCAAGCGTACCAATTGTCACAAATAGTAAAATAACTAAAAAATTTAATATCGAATCTAGCTATTAAAATTTATGCTAGTTAATCTAATTTAATGTTTATCAAGAAATTGTATGAATTTTTTTAACACATAAAATAAAGAACATATTTTTAGGGTTTATAATATGAAAGCAAATTATTTTTTTTGTTGTTGTAAATTTATAGTAATATATCAATGAGTTTCATGACAATCCTCACATGTATCTTTCTCAGTTTTTTAATTTTTCATTATTATTATATTAATTCTACAATCAACAAAAGTATTTTAACTTTAATCCCCTAGGTGAAAAATTGTATGTCTCTTAATTAAAATCTCAATTTCTTGGTAAAATTAATTAAGCAACTCACATTAAAATCAGAGGTTTAAAATGTTAGTTCTTAACATATTCCTAACAATAAGTGTTATTAGTGTTACTCTCTCCATAATGTAATTTTAAAAAAGTTTTCTCATATTAATTAATTTTATGAGATCGTGTGATGATTGATCACTCCAAGAACAAGTATTAAGTGTATAAGAATAACAATTAATTACAACTTTATTAAATAAAATAAGAAATTTACTTGGATTTAGATTTAGCTCTATCAATCCCTCACAATTGAATGAATTAGCTAGCCACTTATGAATAATTGAATCACAATAAAGAAAGGGAGAAGGCTCTTAAGAACTCTGATAACTTTTGCTTCTCGCTAATTTATCTCAAGCCTAATTACTAATCTTGTACGAATGACTCTCTTCTTCACGTTTTGAGTTTTTATAAAATTGTTACAAGAAAATTATATCATCTTATACTAGAAGTGCATCTAAACCCTTCAACCTCAAGATTCCAATCTCAAAAGTCAATGAGAATGATGGATGTAAGAGAATTGAAAAGAAACAAAAGTCACAAAGTAACGGAAGGGGGTGTTGATGAGGAGAAAAAGAAGAAAATAGATAGGAGTGAGAAAAATAAAAGGATGATGAAAAAAGGAGAAAAATATCCATAAAAACTAAAACATTAAAAAATTAATTATATACAGAGTAAGACGAATCATTTTAAAATATAGACTAAATGATAAAAGTTGTGAAAAATAGAAATCAAAATGTACAAATAATACTAATATATAAAGATTAAAATATAAAGTACAACACGAAAAAAAAAATAAAGGTCACATCATCCAATATTAGAGATATTAATTTTTTTTAACAATAAAAACTAAAAGAAAATTGAAAGCGTTTATACATGAACTAAAACAGATAATGAGTACTGTGAGATTAAAAAAATAATTTTTTTACGATTATAAATATAAAATGAGTACACAATTAAACATTATTGTTATTATTTTGTGAAGCACTATTTTTTGCCTTTCAGTGCTAATTTTTCACTGTATAAAATTACATTCATCCTTTACCACTCATGTTTTCTTATCACATTCATCTATCACTTTTCTCTCACCCTCGTCTCTCTTTCTGTTTTCCAAAACAAGTATATATCCAATACCATTCTAAAATGTCAAATAATCATTTTCCTTGTATTTAGGCCTTACACTCTCTCGCGTATTATGTGGCCATGACTTGTATATCTCACACATTTTATCAAAGAGTTCCTTATCCAACGACCAAATGGTCGAGTCATGTCCTACCAACTATTCCTCATAGGCGTAGCTACCTACCATGTCTTATACAAAGTTTTTTTTTTCTTTTTTTTTTTCCAATAAAAAACATTACAACGACTATAACAATGATCAAATATAAATTCTTACCACTAAAACGACTAGAATGATTTATATATAGAAGATATTTGAAAAGCTACAACGAGTTGAAAGAATCTATAACACAATTCTTTTAACATTTTTTTTATGAAAAAATCAGACACGCATGCAATACTTATTAAAAAAAAATACTTTTACCTATATTCCATATATACTGATTTATTGTTAAAAAATTATATGTATAAAATATAGTAACACATAATATATATTATTAAATTTTATTTAAAATTTATACTAAAATATTATGTAAGTTTATATTAATTTATATATCTATGTATATTATATCTATAATGATAAATGTAACATTTCTTGTAGTATCTTTATTATTAATATTAAAACTTATAAGAACTACAAATTATAATAATCATTAATAATAAAAAGAAATCCACGTAATTTTATAATTTTCTTTATAAATTCTATTTAATGATAATGTGTTTAAAAGAATATATTAAAAATTGGAAGAAAAAAATATAAAAAATATAGTTAATATTTCTTGCAATAAATATTCTATTTGCCTTCACTTCCTGACTCCAATATCTCACCATGCAGCTTTTGACTTCTTCCACCTAGAAACAGCTTCAAGCCCTCAATTAGTTAATTTTTTCTTAACTCTCCGTACAGCAACAACAATATTCTGAAAGTTCCACCAAGACAACAATATGGATAGGGTGGCATTTTAGTTGCATCACCGTATCATATGTTTTTGTTTAAAAATCACGAAAATAAAAAAAGAAACAGCAAAATTATATTCAAGTAAAGAAAAATGAATCCAATCAAAACGAAAATCACGCTTTCAAAGAGTTGAAATCCACATTTAACAAATTTGTCGATCACCTAATTTACTTTTCATAAAATGTGATTACAATATAGTTCTGATTTGCATCGCCATATCATATGACTAGATATCAAAATATTAGAACATATTATATATTACTATGGATGAATATTAGTAATTAATATATTAGTGGGGGACAAACCTTGTTTAAGGGAACCCTTATGATATAACATATGTGGAGAAACTCTTGTTTCTTTTCATTCGCTATTGGAATTATGAAATATAAATAGTTTCTGTCCCTACTCATATTTAAGGAATGGATTCAATATCGTCTATATATTCGAGTAAATTTCATAATTTGATATTATACCTGTTGCAATAAATGGGACATTGATAACTTAAGGATTGATTTTTATCACATATTTTAAAATTTTAAAATTTATCGCATAGTTATATTTGTTATGAATCATTTCTTGTATTGCATCTGTGTTTTCAATGTGAGTTATGGAATCTCTTTTTCTTCGTTTTTTTTATCCATCCAAATTATAATGATAAGTTTAGGATCTTAATATTTTTTTTTCTTCATTTTACACCATTATCTAGAATATGAATACTGTGAAGCTGAGTTCATCAAACGACTTTCTTTCGGTAATTATACATGGCCGGCCATTGGCAGAAATATAAACTAGAGCTGACCAACTCATCAAGCTACTTTACTCTATGCCTCGAAAATAAATATTTTAATTTACTAATATTATTTTTTAAATACTAACTGGTAAGCAATACTGCCGTAAAAAAAAAAAAAAAAAACTGGTAAACAATAATAATTTATTAACAAAAAAGCAACCATCCTATTATAATTTTGTTTTTCATAAATATTAGTCACTTATTAACATAACTTTCTTCAATATTTTCATGTCTACATCTGTCCCATCACCACCCAGTTTTGTTCTGTTTTTCTTGTTCTTTTTTTCCCTTCCTTTCATGTCTACATCTTCCATTTGTTAAAAAGTTTTGCACCTTGCTATCTAGGATTGCGAAGAATAATAAATTACATGAATCAAAATTGCTCGTAACATCTCACATCTCTCAAATTTACCCTTACGCTATATCAAAAAATGAATTTCAAATAAATTTATAATAATTTTGATAAACTATTTCTATATATTGCTTTAAAAAAAATCTCATCTTAGAATTTATTTTATGCTTAAATAAGCATTATTAGGTCGACCGTGATATAAATTAACATGGGGTCTTATTGCTATAACAAAAATCTGGGCTCTGATTTCTCTATTAATTTGATGATAAAGGGAGTAAGTATAACTTAAAAAAGAAAATAGAATTAATTAGTAAAATTGATATAGGTGAAATCCTTGAGAAGAAGGAAAAGAAAATGAAGATAATCTCCATGAAGTAGATTAGTCCAACTTTTGAATGCCATAGCTGTGGGGAACACAACTAATCTGATGAGAACCATTATTGCCTAAAAGCTACAGCATGTGGACCAAAAAAATGAAGATATGATGTTGAAAAAGATCAAGAATTAATGTGATAAAATTTAATTTGAAGATGATACAGTTGAAACTTAGCAGGTATATATATTTATCAGTTCCTCCCTTGGGTATTTGAACTTTCTGAAGTTATAACTACTCCACCTGCTGTCTCGGAGGAGGTACGCTGCTGAGTCTGTGAATCTGATCATAACCAACCATAATAAACAATAGTCACATTGTGTTCAACATTGATATTATAAAGAATATATATGAATCATAATCAACTGATTTCTATGCTTTATGCTACTTATTGATCCTACTCTATGATCATGTAAGAAAATCATATTGAGAGGACCTTTCCAATCCATACACATTAGTGTGTGTTTTTTCAGGGAAAGTGAAAAATAAAAATTCTAAAAATTGGTAACTCAATGAAAATACAGTGAGATGGTACAGTTTTTATTTTCACTCATTTTTTGATAAAACACAAATTTCACTTTAACTCACTTGCATACGGTAATAGCAAACAAAATTTATAGAGTACAAGTTTGTATTACTCTATTTTCATCTGTGCTGTATATTTTTGTGACTAATTAAATAATAAAAAATCCAATTCTTTTTAGTAGAAGTTGTATCCAAAGAGGGGAATAAATTGAAAGAAAAAAGAAAGAGGTTGATACTTGATCTAGCTTAAGAAAAAAAAGTTAATTTGTCTTGGTTACTATATTTGTTAAATATTAAAACTTACAGCATTGGTAGTATCTAACATGCAGTGTGGGCCAATGCATGAACGCAAGAGCATTTGACTGGTTCTTTAAAGAATTTAACCACCACAATAATATTTTTTTCCTACTGAAACCACATGCATTCACTGTTACTTTACATGATGACCCTCTCCCTCTGTCATGACTTTCTTCCACATTGACCCATACATTATACGGTTCATGGCACAACCGAGACAGCTCATTCACATGGGGCTGGGGTTGCCCATGTGGACCCCTATGGCCACATGTTACAGCCAAATCATAATATATATTGTGTGTCAGTAAGTGCATCATAATTCATAAATCTCTGTGCACCTCTCTCTTTCACTCCACTCTCCTGTGTGCCCATGTGTGTATGCATATAATTAAGTGACATACATGTTAAATAGATATTAAGAATATCCAATATCAAAAAGGGTAATTAAATTTATAATCAACACTAATAGGATAATTTCTTTTCACATCATCATCTACTTACAAAATGTGATAATAACTTTAAAAGATTTCTGATTAGTTGATAATGTATGTTTATTAAATGAATTTGTTAGAGAAGTGAAAAGAAAAGTACCACTAGGGGAAGGAGGGGGGTGCCTTATTGCTAGTTGTTGCAATTGAGGTGGTGGACGAAATGCAGGGAATGAGGCTTCCATGGGTGTAGGGTAGTATAGATAAGAGGGTCCAGCTGGTATGCGATGTGGTTGGGGTGTAGAAAATGTGCCTCTTGGTGCTTGCACAGAATAGCCATAGTAATATGGTGAACCCATGGTGGAAGATGATGGTCCATAGAGTTGTTGGTAGTATTGTGGTTGCTGAATTTGTGGGTTATACAATGTGGCCTGTGTTCACACAATAATCATTAAGCTAATGTTACACAACTGTTCTCCATTATTAGTAACCAACCAGACATCATTAAAAATAATTAAAATACATAATGTTCTTAATTGATTGGAGGGAGAAAAGATGCTTACTTGGTGGTACCCATAATCAGGGGTGTAGGTAGGGTAGCTGCAAACAGAGTTCAAAGCAATTTAATCACTAAGCAAATATGGAAGAAATACGTTAATGCAGTGATGCATTTGTTTCTTTGAGAAGCAATGCCTCAAAAATGGAACACTTCTATTGTTGTGGACTGACACTGGACTAATATGCAAGGTAAAACCGGTGAGGAAAAAAGCAATTAATATCAGTAGCTTTGGTTGTCATGTGGGCCCCCCTAATTGATCAATGTGTAATGAGAGTTAGTACTTTATGGTGTGGTGTGGTATGGTATGCATGGTCCTTAACATTGAATTAGTTATGACTGATTTAGTGATAGGGGTTTCTTTTGTGGCTCAGGCATTATGAGCATGTTGTTGCCCCATCATTCAGAAAAAGGAAGGAATAAAGCAATAGAAAGAATGGTCAAGGTGGCATCCAATGATATGAAATTTTGCATGGGCATAAAAATATAAACTATGCAGTCTCGTTGCAACTGACAGAGTAGAGTTTAAGGAAGGGAAATTCTGATACAACGTATAAAGTATTGTCAAGTATTATTTGGTAGAAGTTTCTACTCAAGAAGTTGAATGACCCGTTCAAAATCTTAATATTTTATTTTGCAAATATCTTTTGCTTTTAAGGTAAAGAAGAGACAAAATATATATGTATAGTGAAATTTCATATCCTAAATTTTAGAAGCTTAGCAGAGAAAAGATTCGGTTCGGCTCATGCTAATATATCACACTCTGATAACGTAATTAACTTTAAAAAAAATATATGTTAATTTGTTTGACGATAGAAGGAAAAGATGTAATCGAAACACTTGAGAAAGAACAAAGGGTATAAATATTGTAAATTATTGAAACAAATAAGGTAACACCGTTTATCTACTACACTTCTTTGTATTAGCTTTCTGCAGTTCCATTGTATACAAAACTACATTTTATATACTGTCCCTTCTACATCCCTCGGAAAACAGGCCTTTGAAAAAAGTAAATATAAGAGGAATTTCCCTTTTGTTTTTGTTTATATGTTCATTCTTTAATAGTACTTTTTTAATTTACCAACTAATACAACTCATAAGACAACAATAACCTTGCTGGTGAGAAAATGACTTGATGGTACAGGACATGCAAAAGTACCGAGAGCTTAGGGATTTTATTATGTACAAGATTATAAAACAAATTTATTGATTCAGGACCACTATATGAAACAAAAAATAAATAAAAAATTGTTCATGCATTACCACGGATTAATTATCCATTGACCTGTACCTATTGTCACCAGCATTTCTACTATTAATTATTACCATAGATGAATACATCAATAACACAAGTTACAAAAGTAATGTTTCTCATCCATATAGGTAAAATCTATAAGCGCCCTATCTTCTTAGGTCTTCTGTAATTTATGACATTAATAATTCAACTATTTCACTCACACTCCTCCTTAAATAAAAGACAGAGGAAACTAACCTCCCCGTTTTTCCCCCTATCTATACGTGTAGTGTAAAAATGTGGTGTATACACAACCATTACTCAATCACAAAGTACTATATACAGTAAGCTTGTCCATTTATACAAAAAAAAAAAAAAAAATACCTTAAAAATATCTAACCATTTTGTATTAGTGGAAGGTGTAAGTTTTTTTTTAAACTGTGTGACTATTAAACTCTTTTTATTTAATATTTATATTTTAAATGCATTGTTTTGTTTCTCAAGTTCCAAGATACAAAGAAAAACACAAATTATGACACACCACAAATAATATGGAAAAATAGGTTATGTAATAAATGTGAAAATGTTTTAACCAATATTATTATACGGTGAATATTTTATACTAATATCATAATTATCCAAAAAATATAAAAGTATTTTGCATCATTCAATTATAAATTACTATAAATGATAAATTTGTTAATTTTTATAATAATTATCTTAAAATTTATATTGTAAATTTTTTTACAACGAGTAATATTTGTGTTTTTAATGTATTAAATATTTTGATCTCTTTAGTGGTTAATGTATAAATATGCAATATAATGTAGTAGTTGAAGAAGAGAATGGGATGGGAGGAAATGCAATTGATTAAGGTTTAAGTGGGTAATTAGCAGTTAGTAAAAAATAAGAAGGAAACTAGGGGGAGGAAATGCACATGATGGTTGTTGAAAGTTTGGCCTTGTGTGTAGTTTTAATGGTGATATGATACGTGAGGATTTTCACGCTGTCACCACGACCTACTGTAATTGGGAGGGAGCAGTCAAGCGACATATGTAGACAGCAATGTGTGCGTCTATATGCAGTTCTCAATTAATGCCATGGACCAGTTCCTTTGACTGTGACTCACAGACATGGGTAATAATAAATGCCCACAGTAAATGAACAAAGCTAACTCACTCACCCATATGGCGGGTACACTAGCGGTGGTGGCGGCGGCGCAAGTGCCGCTCCTCCTCCCGCCGGAACGCCACCGTACGACGCCGTTCCCGCTCCTCCTTGGAATGTACCCCTTCCTGCATTACCACCCCACAAAACATTATGTTATATTTATTTCTATGATATGATACGATAATAATGATTATGTTCATGACGTTACGGCAAATAAAGTGAAATTAATTTACAACCTCTAGGTGGTGATGGTCTAGGCCTCCCAAGAGAAGCAATGTTACAATTTGCTCTTCTTCCATCTATCATTGGGTTTGGATCAGCACATGCCCTTCTAGCTGATTCTGGATCACGGAATGTTACCTGTTCATTGTGATTATATATGACACGTTTTGTGCGTAATGAGGATCAAATCAAACAACACACGTTGTAGTGAAACAGAATCAACTTTGAGGCAAAGTAAAGTGTTTGTGTGTGTGCGTGTGAGAGAGAGAGAGAGAGAAACATACGAATCCGTAGCCTTTAGATTTTCCTGTGTTCTTATCAGTGATAATGACAGCTTCAAGAATGTCACCAAACTGCTCAAAATATTTGCGCATTTCTTCGGTTGGAGTCTCCCAAGCTAGGCCTCCAACAAAGACCTTAGTGAACGTTGTGTCTCCGAACTGCGATCGGTAATGTGGGTAAGCCATGGTGTCAAAGGAAGAAAAGGGTGTCTTTGTTTATGCATGAAAGCTAGTTAAGCTCTTTGTTTCTTCTGATCTCTGGTTACCATTGTTTCTGACTTTCTCTGAGTGTTGTAGTTCTCCTCCTCCACCATTCAACAACGCCCCTTCTTCTTCTCACGACAGGAGAATCATTGGATTTGAAGAGGTCTCAGAGAAAGGGGTGGTGGTGGGTGTGGTTTATGATGGTGTGGTATCGTTATTATTTGATGGTTGTTTGTGACAGAGGAGTTGGTTAATTAAAACAAAAATATATGGAAAGGAAAATAAAAAGGGGTTGTTTTGTGAAAATATTATTATTTAAAGAGAAAAGGAAAAGGGAGAGAGAAAAGGGTGGTGGTGGAGGAGAGAGAAAGAGATCTGACAGCTGCAAACTCTAATTTGCTGGCCAAAGAGAGAAGGGAGAGGGTGTGGGCTTTGTAGTAGTATTTCACAAGTGACAGCTGCGTTACTATCTCACTTGAAGTGTTTCCCCTCTGTCTCTGCATTAATATACTCTCCCACCATCCAATCAATTTTCCGTTTTGACTTAAACTACTCTTATTTCCTTGTCCTTCTCTTCTCATTTCTCATTCCTTCCGTAACACATTTCACACCAGCCTGGCCTATGTTCATTTTTTAACAAACATATTATTCTATTACTTAATCACCTATAAAATTTTTTTATATTGACAATTAATATCTTTTAATAGTATTATCTCAGTTGCTTATTTAATAAAATAAAAATAAAATAAAATAATTTAAAAAATATGATTGGTTATCAGTGTAAAAAACTTTACACTAACAGTGTATGGATGATTAACTCTTATTCTATTATCTCAAAATAAAAAAAATGCTTACCCTTGCTAAGAAAAGCAAAATGTCTACAACTGAACTTGTGATTGACCGAATGGAGATTATCTTAAGCCCTTGATTAATTGGTATGTGATTGTGTTGAATGCGTGATCAATTATCATAAAGTTATTTTAGTTGAATTGGTATGTAATAAATAAGTGATTTTTGAACTTTGTCCACTAGCGATTTTACTTGACTTATATGCATGATCAACTAACATGAGGTTATCTTAGACGTCTCATTAATTGACATTATCTTGAATACTTGATCAATTGTTACCATATTATCTCAGTTTAACGAAAGTCTAAGTGAATGATTTCTATATACGTAATTTGTGCACGTGTTCAACTAACATGAGGTTATCTTAAACTCCTAATTAATCATAACGAGATTGTCTTGAACATGTGATCAATTGTCACCAAATTATCTCTGACATCTAAGTGAGTGCTTTTTCCGTATTTTGTCATCTAGCGATCTTAGGTAACTTGTACACATGATCAATTAATACAATATTATCATAGACACCTCATTAATTGACATGTGATTGTTTTGAATTCGTGATCAACTGTCACTAAATTATCTTAATTTAACTAGTGTCTAATTGAATGATTTCTGAATTTTGTCCTATATAGTGATTATACAAGACTTGTACACATGATCAACTAATACAAGATTATCTTAGGCTCCTAAATGATTGACATGAGATTGCCTTGAATACGTGATCAATTGTCACGGGATTATGTCAATTTAACTAGTATCTAAGTGAGTGTTTTTTTGAGCTTTTTCCTCTAATGATTTTATGTGACTTGTATGCATGACAACTTATACAAGATTATCATCATGAGCATCTCATAATTCTCATTAATTGGTATGTGATTGTTTTGAATCCCCGATCAGTTGTCACCAGATTATCTCAGTTTACTTAGTGTCTAAGTGAATGATTTATGAACTTTGTCCCCTATAGCAACTTTACATGACTTGTACATGTGATCAACTAACATGAGATTATCTAATTAGGCTCCAAATTAATTGACATGACATTGTCTTGAGCGTGTGATCAATTGTCACAAGATTATCTCAGTTTAACAATTGTCTAAATGAGTGCTTTTTGAGTTTTGTCCTCTAGCTATCTTACGTGACTTGTAGGCTTGATCAATTGACACAAGATTATCATAGGTGCCCCATTAATTGGCATGTGATTATTTTGAATTCGTTGTTAGCTATAGATTATTTCGACTTAATTGATGTTTAAGTGAATGATTTCTAAACTTTGTCCTCTATAACGATTTTACGTGACTTATACATGTGATCAACTAATAGTATTATCTTAGGCACCTCATTTATTGGCATGTGATTGTCTTGATTGTGTGATCTGATGTTACCATATTATCTTAGTTTAACTAAGACCTAAGTGAGTGATTTCTAAACTTTCTCTTCTCCTATAAGCTCTTAATTTCCAAAAATAATATTAAAAGTATGCAAAAATTATGAGAAGCTCACTTGTATCTTACGTGTAAGGAGGCAAATCAACTAATTTGTGCTACGACTAACTCACTTGGCCTATGTACATGTATGCGAGCTTTTCCACTTTTACTAACCTCTTTGTATGTCTATATCATAACTTGATATATAAATCATTCTCCAAAGATAATACTAGTCAATGTAGGACTTCTACATTTTGTAAATACCTTTTTACAATAGATTTTACGTGACTTGTACATGTGAACTAACATGAGGTTATCTTAAGCGCTTGATTAATAGACATTAAATTGTCTTAAACGTGTGATTACCTATCATGAAATTATTTTAAGCACCTAATTAATTGACATGATTGTCTTAAACGTGTGATCAATTGTCACGAGATTATTTTTGTTTAACTGATGTCTAAGAGAGTGATTTTCAAACTTTGTCATTTATCAATCTTGTATGACTTGTACTTGTAACCAACTAACACAAGATTATTATAGACGTATGATTAATTAGCATAAAATTTTCTTAAACATGTAATTAACTGTCATAAAATTATCTCAGTTTAACCGATATTTAAGTGAATGACTTTCAAAATTTATTCCCTAATGATCTTACATAACTTATATATATAATCAACTAACACAAAAATTATCATAGATATTTGATTAATTGACATGAAATTATCTTAAATGTAGAATCAATTATTACAAAAATATCTCAATTTAATTAGTGTTTAAGTGAGTAATTTTCCATCAATGTCTCTATAACAATCTTACCTAACTTATACTAAAAGATACAAATGGTATCAATCCCAAAAAGGAAAAGAAAAATAAATAGGTATTTATAAAAATGTTAGTTTTCCAACAATGAAAGATATGGACCCTCTGATCATAATCAGACGGTTCTTTTTACATGAAAAGAAGAAATTGTGTAATTGATATAATAGGTAAGAAGGGGTGCGTGCTGTGGTGGCAGCTTTGGTTTACAGACATGGAATGAAGCAGCTGAAATTTTTACTCGGTCCACTTCCTTTTCCCAAGGTGTTTGCTGTTGCAGCGAAAGTTATGCTCATATGATACGATGTACAAAGTAAAAACAATAATTTAATTTTCAATTTGACCTGTCTTTTGTTGGTTAATTATATTTGAATATTTGATCATAGATCATGTGCTCGGGTAATTAACTGGACCAATCATGTTACACCTTTTTTTCTTTATGTTGGGACCAAAGTATATCCCACATGACCCCAAATCCGCTAATCATGAGCCATTACACAGCAAATCAACCAAAATGAATGGGAACAGTTACAGTTAGGTTTGAAAGAAAAGATATACTTTTGTTCTATATCTATTCATTCATCTATTTATTTAATTTTCAGTTGAAACTCAAGAGGTATTGATTATTGAGGATAGGAAGTCATGTTCAAGGAAGCCATTATGCTGCTACGATGAAAACAAAATTAAGGACTATTACAAGCTATAATATAGATCCATCACCATCGTATCATTCCCTCATCAATCGCATCATTAGCAGTTGTTAATTTCAAACTAATATCCTCTTATTTTACTAACTAATGGTAGACCATTATCTTGTCCACAAGCGCCAAGCACAAAGAAAGTCACCTCTCCTGGCACCAAATTAGCAACATTATTCAATTCAAGAATGATTTTATCTTATTCTATTTGATTTTCTTTTCCCCCTAAAGTCTTAGTTGGATCATACATGTTTGGCACTTCCATATTCTTAAGAAATTATGTTTGAAATAATTCAACGATATGAAAAGTAGGTTAGATATTTTACATCTATAACTAAAACTAAAAATAAAGTTGGCAAGTGAGGAATAGTGAAGAGCTTATAAATCAATTTAGTTGAGTTGAATTTGAATAGAGTTTTAGTGTGCCAGTGAGCGAAGGAACACATGAACACACCCCAGAAAGAACAGAGCAAGAAACACAGTCACACACACATAGAGAAAGAGGCAGAAGGAGTCATTATCTAGCTTGTTGCCAGCGTTAGGGACGAGGAGACAGCTATAAGGACCCTGTGGTTTTTATGTTAAAAAAACCCTGCAAAACAAACGAGTCCGTGAACTGGCAGTCCTCTACACGTGGGGTCCTATCAGTGTTGAAGAGCTATGAGCTGGATTTCCATCTACTCTCTTTTATACTCGAGGGATTTTGGGACGAACCTTTCACATTATTTATACATGACCCCCCAACCTGGCCTTCATCAACCAATACCCACCAATCAATCTTCATTTAACCCTTCCACTATCATCACACTTGTTTCTTTAGCATATAAACCATGCATTCATTTTCTTCCACTTTCGCCTCTCATATCTCATTTCCTCACTTCCAAATCATGCTTTCTTCTTTTGCCTTGCATTCACTCCGCAAAGTCAAAGCAACCCAGGAACACCATCTTACACTCACTACCACAATCTTCAACTTCAATAATCATCCACTCTTCCTACTACAATTGTCAACTGCACTAACTATTTCATACAACATAATTATTGTAAATATTTTATGAAATATCCATCACTTTTACTTATGACTAATTTCTGTTAAAAAATAAAATTGACCAATTTTAATAAAGTCTATCTTCTTAATAGCACTTTTTTCATTAACAAAATTCAAACTAAAACTTTCCTTATGAAGACGGATTTCTGTGCCAATGACTTGTGGGTTAATAATTCTTCCCCCTTTCGTTGTCATTGTGGCTAATGAGATTCAAACACTTAACATCGTTACCTTTTTGTCACAAACTAGGATAAAGACCTTCCGCGATCTAATCACCTAAAGATAGAAGCTTCGGTAATAATGGCTAAAAATTGATTATACCTACTGACAAATTTTGCTATGTGATTCATCTGGATAGAGGAGACAATTTCCGATTTGAGGGTGGGGAAGTTAGTAGTGCTCCTGGCAATTGGGGTTGTTATTTCCATGATTGCAACTGTAACTAACAAATGTAGATAGGGTTTAATTTAATTATTGCAAAGTTATTATTTGGTGCACAACTCAATTCAACTTCACAGTCTTTTGTCCCTTAATGAACAGTGACTTGTATAGTGCTGCAACATCAACATCATAATGCAATTTAAATGAATAGCAGGGGATTCAGATATATTTGATGTGTCTCAATCTCATTAACCTATGAAATAC